AACCCCTGGCACACTAAACTTACTGTCTCCTTAGTTTTGCCTTTTCCAGAACATTGTATAGTTGGAATTATGCAATATATAGCCTCTTAAGGTTACTTTGCAGTTTTGAATGTACACCATTGTTGCTCTAGGTTTTTGTGTTACCATATTTCCTTTTGAGAAATTTCTACTTAAACTTCCATAAGATCTTTTCAACTTTGGAGAATGATTCGGGAAAGCCAGTAAGAGTCAAATTTTTGAAAAAAGTATAACAATTAGTGTGCTTCATTTCAACATTGAGTTTTTGTCAAATATTTGGCCAGATTTCCTGGCTGCTGTGAAATTTTTTACAACTGATATCAGTGAGTAGCTCAACTACTTAAGAGCCACCAGAACAGCTACTAAAATGTCTCAATTTGATTTGGAAAAAAAGACAATTCAAGTACAGAGGAAAACAAGTATGGTGAAATACCTAGAGTTCGCCATATCTTTATTTCAAATTAACTAAAAATAGTTCATGAGCTGTCGAAAGTAAACCGCTTGAATTTATAAAACTTAAAAAATGGTTGAAGAGATTGTTTAAAGATCACATAAGCCTTTAGTCTTGATTTTATGTACCCTAAACGAAAAAAATCATCCTAGTTCCATTTTGTTCTACAAAGATATTTTTCTTTTCTTCTGAGGCCAGGATCCAATGAACGTAAAGCATCATTCTTTTGCTGTGTAGTACCATTAGCAGTGATTGGTAACACAGGTAAAGAGACCATCTCCCTACAAGGATACACTAAAAGCATGAACAAAGGTGTTTTTTTGTGCCAGCTGCTGGCCTGCCTGAATTGATGTCTTGTTGTTCCGTCTAACAACAAATGACCTCATACAAGTGATTGATTTGTATTTGTAGTACTCTGTAATAAAAAACTTGATTATATTTAATTGTGGACTTGCCTTCTTGGTGGTAAGGAAAGGGAAGCTGGGCTAAGCTGAGGCTGAGCTGTGACTAAGCTGTTTACAGGTATTTCACGTCACCGGCATACAGCAATTAGTCTTCCATCTGTGCTCCTTCAGCCCTTCCACTTTTTTTTTTTTTTTTGTGGTACGCAGGCCTCTCATTGTTGTGGCCTTTTCCGTTGCGGAGCACAGGCTCCGGACGCGCAGGCTCAGCGGCATGGCTCGTGCACGGGCCCAGCCGCTCCGCGGCATGTGGGATCCTCCCGGACCGGGGCACGAACCCGCGTCCCCTGCATCGGCAGGCGGACTCTCAACCACTGCACCACCAGGGAAGCCCACAGCCCCTCCACTTTTTAAACCCCAGCATCGCAGCAAAGCTCCTAACTCCCAAACAACCCACCAAAGCAAAACAGCAAATACTGCGAGCTTAGAAAAGAGATGAGGGTGATTTGCATTAATGCCACTTTCCTGCTCAATTTAAAGACAAGATAAACATTTATTTATAAAATTTCCTGTATGACAAAGAGAAAAAGTATAACAGTTTATCTGGAAATCAATGTGTTATCCTCCCTTAAAGTTAAGAATGGAATGTAAGTTTCTTGAGGACTGCAGCTGTATCTTTATCATTGTGTTTCCAGTGCCCAGTATGTGATTAGCACATAGTAGATATTTACTGAATGAAGTTACTAGTGACACAAGATGAGAGAAAGCTGACATAATATCAGTTTGTTTCAATGACTGTAATTTTTTAAATGTCTCAGCCTGTTCTTGCCTTGTGGTCTCTCTTTAAAAAAAAATTCTTTGGATGTTTAAATATATTTGTTTA